TGTAAGCTATTCAGAATAGCTGGCAACCAAGTACTAAGAAAACCGAACCGTCGATCCCGTCAAGGCAGAGATGCAGATGGGTCAGCAGGACGAGTCGCAGCGCGTACTGTAGTGATTTCGCGTCAATTAAATATAATATAATATACTACAGTACGTCGCATCCCACACAGCACACGCTGCGACTCGTCCGCTGACCCATCTGCGTCTCTGCCTTCGTGCCGCGCGACGGGCCCCCTGTTAGGTACCTTTTCAGTGTCAGTCCCGCGCGCGACGCCGCAACGTGCGTGTTCGCAACAACGACATGAAACATTCAATTCCATTTGGTAATGAACTGAATAGCTTCTCACCAGCATGATAAGTGTAGCAATTGTGATAGGAATCTTTAGCGCCATCCGTATCGTGCTCATCTTCTTCTCGGCATGTACACACACTTTTAACACTTCTAGAGATTGTATACCAGCCAAATGAGTTATTTCAACGGTGTGCTCCTGTAAAACGCCTATTTTCTAACATTTTCTCTCTTCACGTTTTCGGATAAACGCTGTAGAGCAACCCGGAGACGTACATCAACGATCCAGGCAGAATGTTCGTCGGCAAGTGTTGAGAGTCCTTTTGTTCGGTCGTACAAATTCTGCACAGCTACCGGCCGATTTATCTGAAAGCATCACATCGATTTTTAAAAAATGTCGAAGAAACGCCTTGGCATGTGGCGCGATTTTTCACGGTTATGGACTGGATCTAAGCCGGATCGACCGGATCGAATCCTGAGAAATAATTGAAAACGCGAGAAAGAGCACTAGATCTGACCGTTGGTTCGCGCGGCGGATGAGTCCAACCAGAAAAACCATGCCGAAGATATTTTGAAGGGGTAGGAGAGCGCTGGATGGTCCTCAGACTTTCCAACGTTGTTTCAAACCCTTATTTCCCAAACTGCCAGACATCGCACACTACCCGGGAGCAGGGTCAACCCTATCGTTGTTACTCTTTGGAAATTTTTTACGACCCCCCCCCCTTCATGGGTGATTTGATACGACCCCCCTTGTATGTGACACTTGTGTAGAGACAGTGTTTACCATCAATATTTATTTCTACGTAAGTCATCAAAGATGAAACTTTAGCAAAATCCACGACAGATATTCATCGCTGCTTCCAAACACGAAAAAATGAGATGCATTCAAAGATATCCGTGTACTCCAAAGGGTTACCAAACTAGGAGATGAAATAAACTGAACCAGTGACCGGAATATTGACAATACCAGTTTAGCTCCGCACGCAACCGCGCGCATCACATGGTGGGCTTTAGTGAAACTGGACAACTTGCAGAATATTAGGTCACGTGGCTGAGAAACTAACAGTAAGATGTTTGGAAGATGTGTCACATGAAGTTCAAAGGTTGTCCAATTTTGCTGAAGATTGTCGCGTAATGCGCGCAGTAGCATGCGGAATGAAAATGGTACTTATCATGACTTCGTAAACATTTAGCATTGATATCGAGCTCGGGCGATTTAGCGGTTTATAGAATTCCCACAATTGAAGAATCGGTGTGTAAGTGGAAATATAACCAATCAATCAGCATCAACCGATGATGGAAATTGGAAATATGATTTTATTCGCTATTAGTCCAAGTCCAGATAGTGGAGCAGCTCAACTTCCTTTGCTTTTTTAGATGAAAGGGTGGAAATGGAACATATTCCCGTGCTAGGAATCTGGTTCAGTTTAACCGAGTGCACGCTCAATTGTCGCTATTTTTATCAGTACAGTTGCCGCTCATACCACTTTCTGTCACCTACATTCAACCCTCGCCACCTTGATCGCTTGCCAGTGATAATTGCAACGAAGTTGGAGAGACCTGCATTCAGAACGCTCTTATCATTCCTTGTCATTTGTTATCAGTTCATACTGTTCGCAATCGGTGTCCCCCCCCTCCAGGCAACGTGTAGGAGCTAATATTTACTGTCACCACGAAGGCTGCAACGAAATTAGCAGTACTCAAAATCCTAACTTCCTTATCAACCGTTATCGCTTGTTATCACTTTTGATCATCCACTATCCGTGTTCCCGTCCCATCCCCTATACCACATGTGAGAGCCAAGGTTCCAATGTAACCGCGAAGGGCCGCAACGAAACTGGTGGTATCCACACTTTGACGCCCCTTATCAGTTCTTATCAGTTGCTACCACATTCTTTCACTCAACTTCTTGGTCCCCGCCTCACCCCACATATCATACATGAGTGCAAACTCTCCACCGTCAACGCGAACGGCGTAACGAAATTGGTGACATCAACATTTCGACGTCCGTTATCAGCTCCTATCAGTAGTTATCACTTCCCGCCACCCGTCATCAGTGCCCGGCCCCCTATATATCCTAGAAGTTTGAGCGCTCTGGGTCCAAAGGGGGTGAAGTTATGAATTTCCGGTCAGACACACACACACAACCGCTTAGCCGATTATATATAGTAGGATTACCTGATAAAAACTTATGAGAAGTCAGAAAAAATTATCGCTCCAATTGAAATACTGAAATCCTTCACGTTCTTCAATTGCAACACAATTTTTACACCCCTCTTTCTAAGGCTATAACTTCCTTCATATTCGAGCTTCTGCGCCGAAGTGATTTGATTTGGAAAATTCAAATTATTCTCTCTCCAACCATGGGTAAAAATTCTTCGAAAGTTAATTTAATAAAAATTTAGTACGTTGTTACTTTTTTCTGTGCAAATGCGACTTTTTAACCTTCAAACGATCATAACTTCTATATAACTTATAATAATTATAATATACGAAGATCATAACTTTGTTCAAAGTCATTCATTTGGGAAGCTGAACACGTATAATAAACTACAGGATTCAAGCTTTCTAACGAGCACCCAAGCGTTCCTGAAAGATCAGCAGTTCAAAAATTAGTCCCGTTGTTACTCGTACAACGTAGAATTGACCCTGCCCGGGAGATCGACGACATACTTTCTTTAAACAGCTGGGGATACCAAGCAGAAACGCAATAAAACCCATGGTTCTATACTACTGGTTAGGAAATTTTTGTACTTCTTGAACGAGTTTTCTCATAAATGCACACGCAGAACCGATTGAAATTACCGGTGAAAAATCCCGAGAAATCCCTAAGGATGTGTTCTATAGGTTGGAAGGAAAGTTCCTTAACACTCAATTCGCGCTCTTTCTGGATTTCTCCCGAATGCTCTGGAATCTTCCATGGGTGGTATATAGTAGGAGTGGACCGTGCTACGTACGGTGATCAAATCAGCTTTCCCAATAATGGCGTTTGCATGGCACTAAATCAACTTTTCCCGCCAGACACTCCGAGCGCTCATTCTGTAAGAGCTCCGCCTAGAGAGATCTGCCCACCAGAGGTGGTCAGGATCAGTCCCGGGATAGGCCTGGGCACGTTCTCTCACATGGCGGTTTCGGCTTGGTTTAAACGCTCCGCAGCGAAGACTTTGATCTTTCTGACGCAACACACGACTACTGCCCATTTTGACGTTTGACGGTATTTCCCACGGGTGATGATCTGTCTGGAGGATTGACGAGTACAAGGGCTTCACAATGCTAGCTGCTCGAAAAGATTGCAGAAGAGCTTCGCCGAATATAGCGACAAGTCAACCTGCTTCACGACAACGCGCAACGTCGCGGGTGTTCGGTCTCAAGCCACAAGACTCTGAAGCCAGGCAGGACCGCGGCTGCCCGTCTGCCATATTCGTCAAACCTATCTAATTACAAAATGCGCCTCTTCCACCTTGTGCCTTTCCTGCTCGCTTGCTCATTACCTGGAGAACAGGAAGCTCGACGACGTAAACGAGCGCAAATCCGACACCAGAAGGTTGTTTGGCAAAAATCTTCCTAATTTCTAATTTCTGCGGTGTCACCCAAATGCCCGAAGGTTGGCGTAGTGTTGTTGTATCTAATGGTCAATATGTTATGGATCATTGAATAAATAAAGAATAAAAAAAATAAATTCAAAAATTGAGCTACAAGTGTTAAGGAACTTTCCTTCCAACCTAATATAATCGCTTGCCACTGGAACGCACCGGGGGTTTCGGATCGAA